AATATTGTCGGCGAAATTATTGTCGATAAATATAACATAATCGTGTACATGTACTATATCGTGACATATTAAATTTCAATATTTATAGAATTTAATTCTAGAAATATGAACATCGATTAGACAAATTTTTAAATTTCGTTTCATGTACCTCGAACGTTCGCGCTAAAATTAACATTGAGAAGCGCCGGTAAGTGGCGCTGTTGTGCCTGTAATGCTTCATCATCGCGTGGAACACGTTGTCGAATTTTTTTACATTCATTATCGAATGATCTCTCGATAAATATTTGAAAATTTAAAAACTGTAAGCGCAATATATATAATTGCAGCAAACAATTGTTTTCTGACGATAAAAAGCACTCTTCGGTCGCACGTTATCTTCTATGTAACTGTGTTGTTATGTAACGTTCTATCGTTGGAGATGCAATATTTTCAATATAAATAAAAAATTTATTTTCATCGTAAAAAAAAAATTATATCAACGTAGCAAAGATTATTATAATTGTCAACGTAAGGATTGATATATGTACATGATTAATGCAAGTTTTTCACTGGTGTTTCAACTGAACTATATGAAACGACGCACGATGCCATCTAGCGATAAGGTCCAATCCATATCTGTGTTGCTCTTGCTAGAATTATATTTTATATTCTACTTCTTTTATACGTATACTTGCAAGACTGTAACGTATAACATTATCAAATGCATTTTTAAGACTAAAATTCTACAATTATAATTTTAATAAAACATATTGAATCAAAATTTAGCAATATGACAAGCATAACTGCATTCTGTACAATTTGTTCCTTACATTTTTACAATTTCAAATGTAACTTTCAACATTTTGAATCTGATATTATTTCACTCATCTCATGGTCAACAGATTATTGATTTTAAAAATTTCATTTCTGCGCCGAAAGAGAATTTTAAAAGAATGTTTTCTATCAATAGTTATCTAGTATAAAAATTTTCTATTTAGAATAGAATGGAATTTCAGATTCCCGTTTCTTTTGTTTCAATAGGTATAAATTAGAAAATATAAATAGTACTTACAGCATAATTCAATCCATTTAAATCAGCATCTCCATTTTTTAGCCAATCGACAAATTCCATAGCGTTGTCTGTAGGATCACCTTCTCCATATGTAGCCAGACAAAACACCGCCATGCTATTTGGAATTGTTTTCAGGTGTACTAGTTCTTCCTGTTGTGACAAATTACAGTTATTCAATACCATGAATAAATGAATAAAATAACAAAGTATTAAAGTAATTTTGTTAAAGATCCGGCCCAAAGGATCGGAAATTATGCAAAAGCATCAACAGTTTTTTGAATCTACAATCCAGAGGTTACAAATGATCCACAAATTAACAGAGATCTACCGAGTTTGTAAGCGCTACCTATGCTCCAAACTGGATCATTTTATCGATCGTTTATTTATGTACAGATTCACAAATGCAGAAAACAAAAAACTGTCATCAATGGGTACTAAATCGCTATGAGGACTTGTACAAAGAGATTCTTCACCATCTACGAGCTACCCGAGACCTTGCATACGAATTTGTTCTAATCCGTGTCCAAGGGCCAATCAGAGCTTATTGTCCATTTATGACCATTTATGGTCTCAATTATTATTGCTGATGTACTGCATTGGTATTGGAGTGTCAGAGGCAAACAGATTGAAGCGAATCTCTTTGGTTTTTTTATGATTCGGATGCACGTCGAGAACCTTCGCTTGACTTTGAGAAATTTTCTTTTCAAATTACTCAATTTATACTTGTTATACGTTTTTTTTTT